TATATATATATATATATGACAAATTAAGAGCTGAATTAACATTGCTTTATATTCTGAAATGTAAGATAAATATTTAATGAAATGAATATAAAACATCAATTTGTAAATGCACCAGTGTGCAGGCATTTTTAGTGTTTTATACCGTACATAAGATAAGATACAGTAAGAACATGAACAAAGTAAAACAAACTGACAAATACAATAAAACAAATATACAAATGAAATGAAATAAACAGTGCTTTCATTTTTCCATGAAGGTCTACAAACATTACTGTTCAGGTAAGTAATTACAAGTAATTAAGTATTACAAGTAAATTAAATAATTACAGTTTTCTTACCAAATATAAAATAATTTTAGATGCAGTTTAATAATATGAATATGATTTAATGCGCTTTTGAACTACAGGGAAACGGTGCTTTAACGTGAGCAACACCATGAACACGGACGCTGCCTATAGGCTAATTCTGCCATGTGACAACACATTTATTTGCGTTAAAGCCCCTTTTTTCGACAAAAAGTGTTTCCAAACAATTTTTTGTGACATTTGAAGTATCAATATAGAATTTATAATATTTATATTTGCTGTTCTAATGTGCTAATGTGCCTTCAAAAATCCAAACGATTAACAAAGATGTGTGTGTTTTAAATTAAGATAATAATTTATACTTTTGTGTATGGGTGTGTTTTAAATTAAGATAATAACTTATAGCTACCTTTGACTAATCCCTTTTCTTAAAAATAGTTTAAAGCCTGAAATGAGCCCAAAAAAAATAATAAAAAAGCCCAATTGTCTTTTTTTTTTTTTTTTATTGACAAAAAAACACACTATTCCACATTCTGCCCAATGTCCTTCAAACAAACGTGCCAAGTAAATGCTATGAAAACATACAGTGCTTAATTTATTAGACCACCTGTCATAATAAAGAGAAAACACAAATATTTTAGGAATCTGTCAAAAAATTGTTTAAATCTAAAAATGTTCATGTCATTTATTGGGCAAATATTAAACTGAAACAAATAAATAGCATTTATTTACATAATAACAAAAATTGCCTCCTATGCCTTTCATAACATCTTGCATTCTTGCTGCCATTGTTTATGCACTTTTTGACTGTAATTGGGCATCTGGAAAAAACACTATAAAGTGCTTGACTATTTTCTTCTGCCTTTCTTTCATAGACAACAGCAATAATCATATTATAGCATTAGAAATAGTGTTACTAAAGAGCTTACACAAATAGGAGGACTAACCTATACAGAAAGCTAAAAAATGATTTTGGTAATCACCAATACTGTATAAAGACGAATAAAATCACAAACTCAGTGTTGACCAACAGGTGAGAGTAATAATATTCTGCAGGAATACACGTTCATTTTGATCACAGTCACGTCTTACTGTCATTTCTTTATCGTATAAAAGACGGTTATGAAGCGTCTAATATTTATATTCAGCAGACAATTACATGCTGTTATCAGTTCCTACTCTCATAAAATGTGTGCACTACATGTTGACTTTTAAACCTAAATTTAACGCTCAACAACAGATATTTTAGCACAGTGAATGTTTTGCGCTGAATATTAATTGTCTCCCTTTGTCTGTGTGCGCACGCCTGCCGCTTATTCAGATTTAAACTTAATGCAGATTGTCAGGGCGGGCCTTTATGCAAAAATGGAAATGCTTGCGTGAATTTGTGACATTTACAGTCAATATGACCGTAAACTGAAAGTTTTTGCGCTGAGGACACACACGCATCTGTCAAACTGCCTGACAGGGCAAGCCATTAGCCTACGCCAATGCATTAAGTTAGTTTAAAGCTTAAAATAAAGAATTTATGTTTTGGGCAACTTGGTTCACGTACTTCTCCCGCAGCATCTCATTCTGTTTCCTCCACTATTTTTAGATGCATTTTGTAATTCAGTGCTGTAATTTGACACGACCAGCTGAAGTTGGACGTGCACTGTGGGCAGACCCGACTAATCGATAATGAGAATCGTTGTCGATTATTTCCATTATTGATAATAATCGATTTTATCAATTAGTTGTTGTAGCCCTACTGCAGATACCCTGTAAATTCATATAATTTACATTTCATAATTTATATACTGTATGTTGGCTATTTATATTAGGCAATGTTATATACAATCCAGACAGGTGGTTTTTAATAGCACAATAACATCTGATTTAAAGTGGAGAACTCAAGTATGTATGTAAACATGTAATTTACCACAGTTTAAAATGCTGGAAAATCTTGAAAATGCACCTTGAAAGTGCTTAAAAAGTACTTAAATTTTACTTTGGAAAAGGTGTTAAGAACCCTGTATTAAGTAAAGTGTTTGCATTCGTGCATTTGCGTTCTATATGTCTCTCTTGTTCATTGAAGACGTTGTGTGTTCCTCTGTATTTGTAGTTTTATATGGCATTTATATTTGTAGTTTTATCTCTCTCTACCATCTCAACGCCCCCTGGGTTGACTTTGTTTTGGCCTGAGGAACAGTGATCTCTTTGAAAACTCACTTTGAAATAATCTTTGTATTAGGTTAAGGCATCAGCTTTAACAAGCCCCAGTCCAGCATATTTGTGTGTTGGTATTTGCTGATTATTCCAAAACCCACAAAATCCTTTCACCAGCCTCCCCTCCTAAAGAATAATTAACCTCCATTTTGCAAACAGCATAAAGAGACGATATACATCACCCACACCCATTCTGATGCCAGTCAGATGCCAGTGTTCTTGTTTCTGCTGTGCTGCTATGGCTACAGTGTAGTGAGGCAGTGCCTGGTGGCCATTTGAATGTGACAAGACAAAACACATTTTGTCCTGTCATCACTCTAAATGAATGACCTCTCACACAGATACACCAGGCCTTGTACAATGGAATGAGAAAAATGGTGGCATTGTCACATATCTCTGGTCTGGTGGACAGGAGTTGGCTAACTGAGTTGGCAGGAGTTGGTTTCAGCATATTGCTATTTAATTCTTATGGCCTTAGTCATATGTAAACATCATTAATTTTTATCACATCATTTATTGGGTTTAAAAAAAAAAGAGATATAGCTGCCTAGAGGAATGGTTTTGGTTGGTCGTATTTCTCAAGCAAACAATTTTGTACAGCATATACTGAGACAAAGACTTCCAACACTAACAGAATATCATTATTTCCTCTCTACACAGGTGTCCAATCAACCAAAAAGTCAGGGATCCCAGCTCCTCGTGAGATCACACAAAGCATCTCCAGAGAACGTGTCTCATTGCGTGACCAACTGAAAAGCTCTACAGCCAAAAAGATGGTCACCAGTGCCAGCACCTCTAGTCTGTCCACGCTGTCCAAGCATTCACGTGGCTCTGTCAAGACCAAAGCAGAGTCTGTTGTTTTCGACAAGAACCTGCTGGAGAGTCAGGTGAAGGAGCTTCTGGCTGAGGCCAAAACCAAAGAGTTTGAGATCATTAAGTTACGGATGGAGCTCCAGCGGCATAAAGGGAAGGATTCATCATCAGAGGCTGGGACACCAGAGGGGAATTCAGAGATAGAAAGGACTCCAGCACAGTCTGGAGACATCCAGGTGCTTGTAGGGGAACTGAAGGAGAAGAACGGACGTTTCCAGCGTGAGTTGGCCACCTTGCGGGAAGAGAATCAGGCTTTGAAGCAGAAGCTTATTACATTGGAGAGCACCACAACACTGCTTACCAGCTCTAGTAAGCATTCAGTTAATGGGGTTTTTCCAGAAAACACCACTTCAGATGCCGTCAGTGCAGTCAATGGAAGCCACCTTAAAACTTCTGCGTCATCTGGTAGTGAAACCAAAGGCTCTCCTTTACCCTCCTCAGAATCCTCAGAGTTTGAGAAGATTCCCTCACGCTCCGACTCAGTCAGTAGCAGCATTAAGAGTGTTGTGCCCAGTGGTGCGGTGAAAGAGCTCTCAGTGGAGTCCCTGACAGACCGCATCCAGAAGATGGAAGAGAGTCACCACAGTACAGCCGAAGAACTTCAGGCCACTCTACAGGAGCTAGCTGACCAGCAACAGGTTGTCCAGGAGCTAACAGCTGAGAATGAGCGTCTGGTGGAGGAGAAGGGCCTACTACAAACTTCCCTACAGCAGCAAAGGGAGCGTGTAGAACTTTTGGCGCAACAGAATGAGTCCCTTCTCCAGAGGCTCAGAGAACAAGCTCAGTGTAATGAAGCTGAGGCTTCACGTGCCTCTCGGGTTGCAGAGCTTGGACAGCGTTTGGCTGAGCAAGTGGAGAGCTCCCGCTTTGAAAGAGAGAAGCTGGTAGACATCCAGCAGCAGCTGACAGGCAGTCTTAGAGCTTTGGAAATGGAGAATCAGGAGGCACAAATTGCTGTGAAGAGCTTAAAAGAAGAGGTAGAGCTTCTTCAAGGGCATCTGGAGAGTGAGAAGGTTGCTAAAGATGAGGCGGTGAGGAAAAATGAGGAACAGCGGCTAGCCACGGAGGCTCTGAGAGCGGAGAGTGCTAGTCTGAAGGCGCAAGTGGAGGTGGAGCGGCAGAAGATAGCTGAGCTGAAGGCAGTGCAGAGCGCCAGTGACAACACAGAGTTGCAAAGTCTGCTTAAAGCGGCGCATGAAGATAGAGACAAGCTGGAGCTGAGTTGCACGGAGCTACGACAAGAGCTACAGCAGGTACGCAGTAAAACGGAGTGTGCTCAGGGTGCTCTGGACAAGGTGTAGAACCACACTGGTAGTTTATAATATAAAGATGCAGGTATCGCCCTCTTCCAATAATCTTGAAGTGACCTAAATACTGGCCAATTATTCGTTCATCACTAGATATTAATTTGGTAGTGCTTGAATGCTATTATATTGTTAGAATAAGTCCACAGATGCCCGGGATGCCCATCCTGCTCTTGAAGGGCCATCTTCCTGCAGAGTTTAGTAGGGGTGCTCCGACTGATTGGCTACTGATAGCAATCAGCTGATAATTACTTTGGGAAGTTTGATCGGCAGTCTCTATAAAGGCCAATCTCATAAACCTATCTCAAGCTGACGATGTGCCTGCTGTGAGAGGTTTGGCATGATGGATAAAATATTGGATAAAATATAAAATATTTATAATGCTGAAGGTTAGGTACAATTCATATTTCTTTATTAAATAACTTACAAAGTAATTTGAAAACTTTCTGTGAGACGTAATTTCACAAACAGCATGAGTGAATCACCGTGTGCTCTCTCTCTTTCTCTTTTTAAAAAACACAAATGGCTTCAAATCACAATATTGCGTCTGCACTAAGTGAGCTGCATGCTGCACAGCTGACACAGGAATTGTCACTTGAACAATCGAGGCAGTGGTGCATCGTCACTATAATTTGGATTTCTTTTGAAGTCTTGCCAGTGTTTTAACCATTCAGCACTCGTGTGCTCTCCTAAAGACGGTACGGTCATGCACAGTCAAAGCACACAAACGTTACATTCACCTCGCCAGCGCTGTTGTAGGCGGACTGTCCACATGGTCACAAAAATTGGGCTGCACACGGACGGTGTGCGCGGAATTCCGCAGACACTTCTGACAAAAATTGCATCATGAGGACAGTGTGCGGACCGTCGCAGAACACCTCACATACAGCTCACAAAATCAGGCTTTTGCTGTATGTAAGCTATTGTGCAACAATTGCCCCATTGTAAAAACAAAAATGCACTGCATGATCAAACATTTAGGTGAGATAATTATATATTTTTGAAAAATGTCTAAAAAATATACCCCCCCGAAAGAAATTCAGGCCCTGAATGAATGTCTGTAAAAATCCGGATTGGAGCATCACTATAAATAATTCTACATGTTAAAAAGTAAGCTTAAAAAAAAATAGGTATCTGTGATAGTATCAGCAGATACCGCTTCCTGTGATTGACGATCGATGATTGGCTCCAAAAATCCTGATCGGATCACCCTTACACCCTGTCCTAACTACACGCGACAAGATTCCAGTGACAAGCAATTTAGGTGTCCACACCAGACGTGACACGACACCATAGAATCAAATATCACAGTCAATCAAAAGCTTGTGTGGGGGGGCTCTCTCTGGAAGCGCACTGCACTCACAACGAAATGGATATGTTTATAATCTAATTCATAAATATTAAATTTTTTTAACATTACTAAAGGTACATAATGAGTGATTAATACCATTTTTGTTATGAAATATGCGTGTTGGTTTGCATCGAGTTCACAGTTTAACACACATATTTGCTTTAATTTATTTTCAATATCTGAGGTAAACTATCTATTGTTGCTTTCAGTATGGCTATTGTCACGGGAAGGGTATACTAGAGACCAGGCAGGAAGACGAAGATGACGGATAAACGGATATTTAATGATTTGACAACAGGGAATTCAGACAGGGTAGACATCCACATTCAGGGTAACATTCACAATAACCGACAAACTAGAATACAAGAGACAGGAACTAATATAGGGCAGATAACGAGGGCCAGACAGGTGAGCACAATGAGGTGATTAACTGATAATGAGAACAGGAACAACCAAATAAGGACACAGAGGGAGAAACCACAATCAACAGTCCACAGGGGTGTGACAGCTATAAGGTCATACAAAAAGATATTCAAACTCACATTAGACACGTTTAACTTTGAATAAAGCACATAATCATTACCTGAGATTATCACTGACTATGTTTGCATGGACATCAGTAATCTAATTATTTACCTTATTCTGAATAAGACAATATTATGATTAAGGTGTTTACATGTTATAGTACATAGATCGATTAATGGCACGTCATTACGTCACCAAGCGACACCATCCGACGTCCCCTCCAGAATTTCACTTAGTAACATATAGTTCGTGTTCGTTATGATGCCATATACAGTTTTGGGTGTTTCATTTTTAATTTACTGAAAGCTTCCAAGTGCAGTTAATTATTTGTCATGCTGTGCAAACAGACGACGGCGTTGTAGAAGCCATGCTCTTTTATTTGCCGTCAAACCGTTGACCACTGCCGTGTGTGTATCCTGTCGCAAAATGCGGCGAAAAGTCCTACACGATGGTAATAATGTGATTAAGGTGTGTACATGTCTATACTGCACTTCAATAAAGCGACTAAAATAAGAATACTCCACGTCTTAAAATCGGATTATTGTTGTCCATGTAAACGTACTCACTGTCATATAGTTTGTATTTTGTTGTTCAAGCAATGAAAATAGAAACCGTTTCTAAAATAGAAATTTCGCATGTCGCCGTCGCAGCTAGTTAGGACAAAAACTCTGATTAATATGGAAAAGATACCTTTTATCTCATGTCATGTGTAGTTAGGACACAGTGTCAGAGTTTAGTTTCAAGTCAACTGCCTGGAAGTTTCTAGTGATCCTGAAGACCTTGGCTTTATCCAGAAACACCCCCAACAACTGCATTCACTATTCCTATACATACTTGACTAATATAGTCTGCTGAATGAGTGAATGAAAACGAGCTAGCAAACACCAGTGAGAATTAGTGCACCAAAAGTGCCATCCGGATGCCAATTGGCAAGACCCTCACAGTGCATGGGTATTCTCTAGTGGCTAGACATTAAGGGTACATTGGTTGTAAACTCGTTATTAATTCGCATTATGGGATTCAATGAGTGTTCTCGAAAATGTCCACTTTGGTTTTGGACACCACTACAAATGGCTGTCGCCCCAGATGTCCCCTCAGTGCACTGTTGAGGTGTATTGGGGAAATTTCAGACACAGCCCTTGATTAGATGGTTCAGGTGTGTATAATTAGGGCTGGAGCTAAACTCTGCTGGAAGGTGGAGACCCCTGGTATAGGCAAACTAACAGTTCCAGTTCCACCTTATTATTTTAGTATAACTTCAAGAATGCTAAGTAGGTTTTATATCAATGTAAGTTTTTCTGGGTCCAACTTGGCCTTGTTAGGCAAGCTCTGCAGCAGACTTTGACTACCTGATAGTCAAAGCTGCATTACGTCACAAAAGTGTGGGCTTGGAAGAAGACCGTGAGGGTTTGGGGTGCCATTTGGGACAGGGTGTTTGCAAATTAAGATGCACAAAATAAAAATTTATCTTAAACTAGAGATTCAAACTGTTTGAGAACATTTTAAGGTACTTTATTAACCTTAGGTTCATAATGTAGTGAAAATAGTCTTGCTGTTAGACATGGATGAATTCTTTGGTCCTTCTGGCTTGTGTTATGACCATCATCACCTCAGAGGTTTTTAGTGCCAAATCAATCGTGACTAATTTTTGACATACTCATTTTGTTAGCTTCTTGAGCTTGTAATGATAGATTTTTGGAGGTCAGTCTTAGTATATGCAGAAATCTTTATAGCCCTTAAAGTCATCGGATGCAAAATTCACTTTTACATGTTGTTTGAACATAAATGTGTGTTGACAGTGTTTGTACACAATTACCCTATAATGATAAAAATCCACTCAGTGTTTTTTTTAATCCCTATAAATAATATCCCCTTTCTCAAATCAAGCCATTCTCAGTTTCTTGGCTGTGTGACGTCACACAGACCCAGGCCCCTCCCACGACTGTTGACTGACACTGGCATTTTACCTTAGCCCTGAGTGAGCTGTCATCAGTCCACCATTGTTTCAACACTGGAGCAGTGGTAGACAAGAATGTCTCCTGAGAGATTGAGGTGCTTTGTTTTTGATGTGGATAATGAACATAGCAGTTGTCATTTACTCCCGACATCTGAGCTGCTGAAGACGAAGTGGATTACTTTTGTTTTTGAAGGGAATGCACCCCCGATCGACCTAAATGCGTTTATGTTCGCGCAAATCATTTGTGATCCAGCTTCACCTACAGAAGAAGTGAGTATAACGCCGGTTTCACACTGCAAGCGTGAACGGCGCGTGAGCAGCGCATATTTTTTTTTACGTGCATATTAATCAATGAGTGCATTCACACCAGCAGCAGGAGCAGCACGTGAGCGTCAAGCAGGGGTTTCGCCGCCGAGTTTATTTTTGCTGCGCTGCTGACGCTCAATTAAAGTGAAAGCACACTTCTGATGGACAAAATACCGTATTGTCCCGAATATAAGACGATGTTTTTTTTCTTGGAAATACATCTGAAAAAACGCGGTCGTCTTATATTCAGGGTCTAGACTTTGACATGTCAATAATACACCCACAACACTAGGTGGCGCCAAAACCGCATAAAACGAGTGTGCCATGAAATACGTAATGTAATGCGTGTTGTAAAGATCGCGAGTAAAAACAAAAGAAAAAGAAAACCTTACAGCTGCACGAGTCGTGACTGTCACGTTAGCCTGATGAGACCAAACTCCCTTTGCGATTTTAAAACGTAAGACAGTACCCAGATTTGAAGACTACAGTAAGATTGAACTTCTACTGTTAATAAGATTTTGGAAGGCTACTATTAGATGGATAGCCTAAATGTCCTAATTCAGATGGGCTACCAGTTTTTTTTATTTTTTTTTATGGTATATCAAAAAGTGTATATTTTTTAAATGTGATTGTTGGTACATTTGACCAGTTTTTACCATACTTTCAAAACAAAAATTAAAATAGGAAAAATATGCAATATGAAAATAATTGAAGACAAAATGTGTTTTACTGAGAAAAAACAAGATTTGGTTTTTGAAAAGCCTTTTTCCAAAAGGTACATCTGGAAAAAGGGGGGTTGTCTTATAATCAGGGTCGTCTTATATTCGGGCCAATACGGTAAATACAATTTCATACAAAAAGTGTTCAAAATGCACAGAATAACCATGTCTAGTGTGTTTTAACACGACTTGGAGTATGTCAGGAAAGAAAATGAAGAATCAAAAATATGTATAGAAGATTTGCCCATTTAAACTTGTTTTTAATTATTCAGTTTGATTTCTTTTTCTGCCGGTGGGTCCCCAAACCCATCGCGCCGCCGCCAACGAAAACTCACATGTCTACATAGATAAGCAAATTATAACTTAAAACTTTTTATCAAACTCACAATGAACAATTCATCTTGCTCAGGATCTTAAGTTACAATGGAGTATATAGGCCTACATAAGAAATTCGCAGAAAACTTATTGACAGCTTCTGTAAATACTGTATTCCGTAGGTATTGCACTTACTTACGATTGACATGGCAAACTTACGCCTTTTATTTATTTTCAGTTCTTCAGTTACAGAAACGGTGCTATAGACACAATAAATTCACATGACATCTTCAACATTCGGCCTAATAAAAATATTATGAACGGTGTTCACATATGGTTTGGCAAGAAACACACCTTTGTCATTTTTTAAATGAATCTCTAGCCTACATAAATAATTAGGTTCAAAAGTATATTTACAGTGAAATGCACTAAACAAACACATTTGAATTGAATTAACATGTCATACCTAATAAACATACTATTCTCACTTAACAATTAGCTAAAATAGAATGAATAATTATATTGCTCCAGATCTTCAGTTACAAAAACAGACACAAGACACAAATGACAAAAAAGGACACAAGATGGACACAGACACAAAAAATAGTATAAATCATATTGACAGCTTATTATTAGTTATACTAAACTTTAAATTACGATTGGCTAGAAATGCATAGCCTACTTTTTTTTATTCAGCTCTACATAAATAATAACTTAAACATTTTCACATTCTTACTTAGCCTAACGATTAGTAAAATCCAACGAATAATTCACATTTCTCCCGATCAGTTACAAAAACGGAGCTTAAGCACAATAAATTAGACCTAACATAAAGCATATCGACAGCTTCTATAAGAAATATTATGGACACACACTAAGCTATAACTTGGTTCAGATTAATAGCTCGTATTTTTCTGTGGGTGCTGCTCGGCCATTTCTGCCCCAGAGATCGGCGCCTATGGGTAAAAGTATGGTGTGTTATTAAAAAAAAAACGTATAAACAGCACATTCTATATTTAAGTATGACTGAAACGACATAGGAGCTGTTTTTTGTTGTTTACCATTTACACGCGAATCCGCATGTTAACATGCAAATCCCCATGTTAATAAACTTTCAAGACTTTAAAACTTTCAAGTTTATAACTGACCAACTTCTAAAAACAAATTTATAGTTGTCTTTGTAAAGAAATATGCCGCTTTGGAGCCGCTGCTGTGACGCTGTACATACGCTTCCAGTGTGAATACTCTAGCGAGTCTGCAGCTGCAGTGACGCTTTAGTTACGCTGACATGAAGCTGCCACGAAGCTCACGTTTGCTGTGTGAAACAGGCGTCAGATTCTTATGAATCTTTGCAAATCGCCTTTCCTAATAACGTACTAGTTAGCAAGTTCCACGGCTAAAGTAAACAGTCTCATGAGAATGGCTCGTCGTCACTCCACGGAAGAGAGGGGCAGGGTGAGCAGAGCTCATTCGCATTTAAAGAAACATGCTCTAAAACGGGTTTCTGTGTGCAGAGCTGTTTTTGGCAAGGTAAAAAGGGTGTTGTTTTACACTACCATTGAGAAATTTGAACCAAAGTATGTTATAGACTTTTCATTAAGACCCTAAAGAATCATATCAACTTGTGGAAAATGGGCATCCGATGACCCCTTTAATAGTCCTTCAGGAACATTTATGTGGTACAATTTTAAAAGGGAAACTTGGGTAAACAACTTTGTTGCCTAATACCCTCTCTGAGTTCTACAAAGCTCTGTCAGCTCTCTATTTCTCTCTTAATGTCAAAAAAGGACTGCATGTAACCTATTAAAATGTCACCACATATACAGTTGCATTACATCCAACCACAGAGCATATTTTGTGTTTTCATGTTCTGCCTAGAGCACCAGAAAATTAGAGAGGAACCTACATAAATATCGAAAGGCGAACTTTTGTAGCTGCCTAGTTTGCACTTGTAAATGTTGTAGTGATGTGTTTAAAGGCATACCTCATCCTTTAAAATACAATTATACACAGAAAGGACCGTTATAAACCCACAAGAACATGAACATCACTGGCACTTCGTGGTTGTCACATGAACCCAGTGCACCTCCAAACGCAAAATTAACTTTAATTTTCTCTCTGACTTAACCGCTTTGAGTGAGCCAAACCTTTTGGCTTCAGCATACACCCTCAGTCCAGATGTCATTGAGGGAGTTGCCACTGGACAGAGCTTTAAGATGCCACACTCATCTTAGAGCACACTCAGTGAGCACGTCTCTGTTCACAAGGCTCTGAAGAAAGAGGTGTGTGTGACTCAGACGCTGTTCTGTTCTGTATAGGCTGATCCAACTGTCAAGTGAATTATGACCTGGCCTATACCACAACAAGAATGATCTAATTCTCAATTAATTAGTATGCAACACTGGAGCAATACTGTTTCCTGTTGTCTGACTTAATACTCATTTTGTAGAATTCAGATGTTAAGTTAAGTTTAGTACTTCAACATCAGTAGAGATGTGCAAAACTGAATTTTTAAAAAGTCAGACTAGACTATGACTATTCATTCTTAAAGGATCTCTATGGTGATGAATTTCTTTAAAAAAGCAATGTTTTGTTTATTGCAGGGGTGGATAATAATTGATGATTCTAATGAATGTTGAATTGTACAAGACCTCTTTTTGTAACATTTTTAGAGAGGTTTTTCGCACACTGACAGTCAGCATAGATCTGGGCATGGTGCTTTTAGAGCATATTAACCCTGTAAACCTTATTAAAATAAGAAGTTATTAAAGTATGATTAATTAAAACCTTAATCTCAACATTAACACATTATCTTAAATACTACAGCTAAATACACTACCAGGTTTTTGAAAGAAAACTAAGCCTGCATTTTTTATTACAAATACAATTGACATTGTGAATTAAAATGTTGCATTGTCACATTATCCTTCAGAAATCATTCTAATATGTTGATTTGTTGCTCAAGAAACATTTCTTATTATTTTGAACAGTTGTGCTGGTTAATATGCCATGGAAACCATGGTACATTTTTACAGGATTCTTTGATAAATATGAAGTTTAAAATAATAGCATTTATTTAAAATTTGATATATCTTTATTGCTGCTTTTGACCAATTTAACCAAATAAAAGTATTAATTTATTTTAAAAAATCTAATCTAACCCATCATTCTCACTTTTTGTTTTATTTATCTGTTTTATGTATCTTACAATTACATGAAAATGCCTACAAATCGAGGGGTATTTGGTCAAAAACGATAGGAAATGTGAATTGTGTTGGCCTGGGATGGGCGGGAATTATCTGAATCCTTGGCTCTGGCAATCTTTTTTTCCCCCCCTCAAATCAGTATCAAGTGTTTAAAAAATAATTTGGTTTGTTGTTAGGTTTTGCCAGTAACCTCTGTTTGTGTTAGTCAAAGGCTGTGGATTGCAGTCAGTGTGCAGTACTGGCCAGTTAGAGCTGCAATAGAAGGGCCTTATTAAATAAGAGATATGCTTCCTGAATAGCTGCACTACAGTGTTTTAAAAATAGTAACAGTGTTTTTGAGGCATGTATGTGTCTGTATGTACAGGTGGAGGCAGACAGGCTGCAGCTGCTGGAGAGGGTGGAGAAACAGGAACAAGATCATAAAGCCAACATGCTCGCTTTAGAGGAGAAGAACAGAGATGCTGAGAACCAGATCAAGGACCTAAAAGAGACCATCTTTGAGTTGGAGGACCAGGTGGAGCAGCAACGGGCAGTTAGACTGCACACCAACCAGACCATTCTGGACCTGGAGAGTATGACAATTATCTGTCTCTGGATCTCAGTATACCACCTTGCCAAATGATCATAACCCCAATGCTGTGAATGTTTAACTGCTCACCCTCAGCCAATGCTAAATATACAGTATCATCTGGCAGAATCTGGCCTACATGCACACACACTGGCTGGAGTCTGCTGTGATTAGTGAAACACATTGATTGGTTCTGGCAGCCTGGATGGATTGAGATACTGAGCTGTTTAGTACTTAGATCTCTCCAGCTTAAATCTTTGCCAAACTGCATCATGCAGGATTCATATGCACTGTGAGCGTGTCTGGGGGGGGGGGGAATTTCATGGTGCAGATTGTAGTTTTATTGCAGCTCAGCTTGTGTCTGTCCAGCTGCAATGAACTAAATAAATTTAAATAGCTCCTTGTTATTGCCTTTAGTAGTCTTGAAATATAAATACTGTTTAGCTTATAGCTTATATATAAGCTAAACAGTATTTATATTTCAAGACTCTTTTTGGCTTTTAGTCCTAAGTTTCAAGAACTTGCCCGGGTCAGAGTTTACCCCAAATTCAAAAGAAAGTTTAATGTTATGTTTAATAATAAAAAAGATGTATTTAAAAAAATGTCTGGATATATCACAGTAATTAAGATTTTTAGGAGTCAAATGTAATTGTAGGCTTAGTTTTTATTTATTTAAATACATTTATTTTATACACTAAAGTTTGAGTACAAGTTTGAGTCTATCCATTTTTTTGTTTTTGAAAGAAGTCTCTTATGCTCATCAAGGCTGCATTTATTTGATAAAAAACATTAATATTATGAAAAATTATTACAGTTTAAAATAACTGGTTTCTTTTTTAAATTATTGTAATTTATTCCTTTGATGGTAAAGATACATTTTTAGCATCATTACTCCAGTCTTCAGTGTCACATGATTCTTCAGAAATCATTCTAAAATGCTGATTTAGTGCTTAAGAAACATGTCTTTTTCTTATCAATATTAAGAACATTTGCACTGCTTAATTTTTATTTATTTTTTATGAAAAATGTGAAACTTTGTTTAGGATTCTTTGAATAGAAAGTTCAAATGAAAAGGTTCCCTCCTTCAGGGAACGGGGGTTACCATACGTAACCGAGACGTTATGCATCCTTGTTGAATAAAAATATTTATCTCTTTTACAAAAAAATATCTTACTGACACAACACTTTTAAATGGTAGTGTATATATAATTTTTGTGAATTGTAACGTTGTCCTTATTTTTCAGATCAAATCAAGAGGCTGGAAGAAAACAAGGCTGAGCTGGAGAAGCAGATTAAGGCCATGAATAAACAGATGAAGGTGGAATTGTTTATCTGTTTTTCTTCTTGTACTTTCTTCATTTCGTAATGAACTACAGCATAGCCATGCATGTTTGACAGTGGATGTCAGTTTGTATAATTCAGGAGGAATATCTTCCATCTGTGCAGAACAGTGCTATGTGTATGAGACCAGAACGGTCTTCATTAGAGCACACTTTGAGCTGCAAATGCAAGCTGGATTGCAGCCTACCATGTCAGTGCCCATCAGTCACCGAGATTGAAAATGACATTTCCATGACCAGCCCCATGAGCTCACAAGAAGGCCAAAACACTTCCGCTCCACATGACTAAAAATGCATGTGTTTGTGTGTGGACTTTCAGGATGAGACAGAGGAGTGGCGCCGTTTCCAGGCTGACCTCCAGACAGCAGTAGTGGTCGCCAATGACATAAAGGTGGAAGCTCAGCAGGAGCTGCGCACGCTGCGCAGACGTCTGCAGGAGGAGCAGGAGCACAGCGCAAGACTGGCTTCAGAGTTGGAGCAGATCCAGGGCACCAGGTACACAATCACTCATGAACTCAACACTGCCCTCCCCTCTGCTATCCATCTGGGCTCTCAATTTCTACAACCATCACCTCTATTCAAATATCAATCTCTGACAGCCGCTGACTGGGTTCAATGGTATAGTTTGCTACATCCCAAAGTCTTTTCCAAAGTATTTTACAATCTCAAGATCAGATAAAGAATTGGAATTTGACATTTTAAGAGTCTGAAATTGATGTCTGACATTTTAAAGGCTGCAGTAAACTGTACCAATGAACACTCAAATCACTAGTCATGCAAAATTACCCTCACTCCTCTGCTTTTACACACTATCTTGCATCTGTTTACTCTTTTTTTTTTTTTAATATAGTAGTTTTAAACTGTGATATAGCCCCAAAAAACTACTACGTACTGTGTTCGAAACCAAAGGCAGCTCTGTAAATATTCCTTTTAACTTCTGAGGAAAAAAGTAAATTAAAAGACAAAGATAAAAGACAAGTTCAAATGAACTTTAGACATTAAGCATTGTAGTCATCAAATATTTGCTTGATTATCTCTTACTAGAAATTTAATAAAAAGTTGGACATTTATAAATGTTCAATGTTATACTAGTTATCATTTATAGTTACTATTATGATATTTATTAATATTTTGAATTACCTTGTGTTTTCATATTTTCTGTTTCATTTAAATTTTAGTTTAAGCTTTTGTCATTTTTAAATATTATATATACATTAAATATATAATATATAAAATATATATATATATATAGCACTCATGTTTTTAATTTGTTTATTTTATTTTATTTCAGTTAAGCAAAACAATTTTTAATAGTTTTAGTTAACAATAACAAGACTGTAAATGTTGTTTACTTTGTTCAACCACTCAATTAAACATCATTTTTAACTAACTAGCCATCAAATCACATAACACACAAAATGTGGGATGTCAAAGGAAGTGAATACAGCTTTTTTCAGGTTTCATACACAACCTTATTTTTAACACACAAATATACCTGCCATATCTTTTAAATTATAAACACTCATTTAGATGAACTGAGTTTGAACTGATAATGAATTGATGATCTATTTGATGTGCAAATTTATACATCTCATCCACCAAAAACAACATCTGATACACCGAACAAACTGTTTGAGGAAAATGAATGTCCCAGCAACATCTTTACCTGTGTCAAATGGTGTTGGGCTGGCATTAATGCTTTGGTGTTCATGTCTGTTTTGTGTGCTAGCTTCATAGAATATCTTGCATTAGTCTGCAGAGCATTAGCAACAACATTGTCTCCCCATTATCATGTGACACTAGACCTGTGCGCTTCATTATAGGAATCCAATAAGATGAGTGCATGTATTGAATACTAGTTGAAGTATTTTGAGATGGGCGCTTTTATAAGTAGTGCGTTTGAGTTGCTAGATTTTTAAAACTCTTCCCGACCCCTTCATTCAAACGGACAGCCAGTGTGCGACGATTTCCCCCCTCCCTCAGATGCTCCCTGAGATTGCTCTCTAAAGGATTTCCCTCTGACCCAGGTGAGTGCACTGCTATCACCAGCCCAGCACTCATACAGAATGCTAGTATGAATGCTTATGGATGGTCAGAGTGATTTAATCATTGAGGATGTTCAAGAGCTTGTGTCTTGCCTGTTTTCCCTGCCTTAGCCACCCTCCCACCGCTTTGAACAATACTACTATCTGATTGGCTGTGCTCATTTTATTCAAACGGGGCTGGGTCTGCTTTGTTTGCCAGTTCTACTTTTCCTTACTTTCTTGCCCTCGAAAACTTTGTATGTGGCGACATCTGCTGTTTGCTGTGATTTTTGCACATAGATTGTGAAACAAACAGGTTTCTGGAAATGTTTGAAGGTTTTCTTCCTTCAATCATCTTCTTACAATCTGCTAATGAAAAGTATCAAATGTTTTATTGATTTCCAGAGAGATGCATGAAGGTTGATGATGACGAATGAGCATTTGCTGCCATGATGAAAACATTTGTTTTATAAATGATGCTCGATTTACTGGTGATGCTGCTCATCTCAATGAGTCAATCTGAGGCTTTCATCCTAATAAACTCAATTTAGCAAGTATTTTCATTCCGAACCGAATTCTGAACCTTAAATATACCTTTGTTTTCTTTGTTTCTTTCAGAATTGCCACTGGACCTGCATTTGAGACCTCCAAGACTGCAGTTGAGGGGCGATAGATGTCTAGGGTTAAAACTGATGACTGGTTTACAGTATTGTAATACAGAGTTATCTGTGTGTCAGTATTATTTGTGAAGAGAAAGTGAAGACAAATTCAGAATTTTTTTGATGAAAAAGATATCACAAAACCGGAATACATATGCTGTTTCCACACCTGCTCAGAAGAGATATTTTGTGTTTGTTCTAAAGCAAACAGCCCCTGCACTATTTGAAGTGTGTTTGATCATGTGACCTGCTTTAGGCTTGTGTTGTTATACCTTTAAGCAGGGCCAACTGAAACGTTGGGGATAATTGGAAGAAAAAGCGAACAAATTGTGTAAGGATGTATCTGTAACATTAATTTATTATATCCCTGACTGGGCACTGTCTTTTTAAAGTACAAAAAATAGCTTTGTATTGTGCTGCCTTAGGAATAAAGCCAACATTTATGGACCTTTAATACTTTACCAGCACTTTTTGATTTTGTCTTAACGTTTTGTATTTCAACAGCAGCCACGACAGGGTAAACCATTTAATTCCCTCTATTCCAGGTCATTTCTTTCATATTCTCGGTGTTTACACATTGGGCAGAGCAGATACATCTATTTCAGTTATATGAAGACATTGGGAACTTTCATGTGCCACTTCAAATGATGAAATTTTAGTTTCATAGTGCTGTGTGCAAGTCCAACACTAGATGGCAGACAAACCATTCCTATCAACACTCCAACATATCAAGCTTGTTTTAGTCTTTAAACACACTGATTCTCATAGTTAAAACCCAGTTGGTTTACAACCCACTAACTTGTAAATGTTTTTATTTGATTTACTCAAGCACTAACCAATGAAGATTACTTGTATTGGATGATGTTTGCTGTACGGTTAAGGCGGTTGTGTCGTCTCTGTGTCGTTTTTTGTTACATCACTATCACTAGAAGTAGTGATAAGAAATCAGTCGAGCTTTTGAGAAACGTGCTTTACCTCACGTTCAAAGTAAACAACTTAGCTAAGCACTTCTGTTTGTGTTCCTCATGCGTGAAGCTTTCTACTCCACTCCACACCCCTATTTGCATTGTTCAATCATCTGTGGCCAATTTCAGTTTGAAAGTTTCTCAGTGAATGTGAATATCACATGATATTATGAATGCGAATGAGACGTGACTCTCAAATATGAAGTGTACAAAATCATCTTCGAGCTTTTTAAAGACTTGAAGTCAGGTCCTCGACTGCCGTTTTGTCAAATCTCAGGTTGTATGTCTCGCAGGAACATATTCATCTAGATGCAGTTTATCAGAAATTATATTACATGCTAGTATTAACAGTTCAGGACATGACTGTGCCAAAATATGATTGCATGCTTAGCAGTTTCACACCTCTGCCTTTAAATGATGCAGTTTCTGTTACGATTCAGTGAATGTGCAAATGTAACTGATGTACTGTCTTCATGTGACTGCAATGACGTTTGTACTCATGAGAGATACAATACTATTTATCTCTAACACATGGGGTTTTAAATGTACATGTATAACATTTTCATCAATGTATTCTGTATTTTTAAAGTCAATAAATCAGATCATTCCAGCATGTTATGTCTGTGTTTTTAAGGCTGCTTCCACTGGGGCTTCTCATTTTTCGCTTTCACATGTTTGTATACATGCATCTACAGTAAAGAAACATGACACAGACAGTTTGGGACTTTATCCTGAGCAGAGGCATCACTAGAACTGTGTCCTTGCTAATATTTTGCATTTTTATATTATGCAATACTGTTCGCATATTGAACCATTTTTGCACAAGAGGACATTTCTGCCTCAGTAAACTTCACTTAAATGTGCTCAAATGTGCATAATATACTGTACTGTCTCCAGTACACTGTGTGATGTGGGGACAATTAGCTCTAATATACCAATGTTGTCTACTGAGTATTGATTAAACTTGAGAAATTATATATTTATGGTCTTGTACAACAATCATTCAATTAATCCCTTAATGTAGTTCTTTTTGTGGACATTATATGTGAATTTTTAACAATCAGCCATAATTTTTGAATCCCACAAAACCTGTCAAAAGATACGGCTGGTCATGTTTCATTTCAAAATCAAAAGATAGAAATAAGAAATTATATTGTGCATAAAGAACATGGATGCATATTTTTATAACCTTTAAGATTGTTTAGATTGTGGCATTAATTTTCTTGCAGTTGAACATGTTTACCCCCATTTCGCAGTAAAAAAAACCCAAAAAGCTCATTACTACAATGTGGAAAAACTGTATTTACAAAGTATTTGTCAGGCTTTTAATTTGTTTAATTGTATTGCATTGCATTCTATTGCAGTATTTTAATAAAAACATATTGCAGCATTTTCAAAAAATAACAGTAATTGATGTAAATGATGAGAATCAAGGATAATATCAATTACACATGCTTAGACACTACGAATTTTTGAGGAGGAAATATGCTTAATTATGATAAAAAAAAGTGACGGTGCAAAAAAAAAATTTTAGTCCTAAAATAACTTTATTTATATCTTTATTTTTAATGCAAATATAATTGATCTTTTTTCTCTTTTGATTAATGGGGTGAGATGTGAATCAAACATGATTTAACTAATTCATTAGTACTGAATGCCATTAATTGATGTAAATGATGAGAATCAAGGATAATATCAATTACACATGCTTAGACACTACGAATTTTTGAGGAGGAAATATGCTTAATTATGATAAAAAAAAGTGACGGTGCAAAAAAAAATTTTAGTCCTAAAATAACTTTATTTATATCTTTATTTTTAATGCAAATATAATTGATCTTTTTTCTCTTTTGATTAATGGGGTGAGATGTGAATCAAACATGATTTAACTAATTCATTAGTACTGAATGCCATTTTGATATGGTTTGAAATTACTATTAATTACTATTATTATTTAATATTATTAAATTATTAAACATGAATTGGTATCAATCTACTTTTTTCTGTTTTAATTTTTTGTATTTTTACAAAGTCATAAAAAACAACGAAAATTGTATAATTGTCTATTTTATTTTATTTTACTGTACAGCATGTAAAATAGTTTATTCATATGCACATGTTGCACCTCATGTAAAATACATTCACATCCCTGTGGCCTCTCTATATCTGTATATGTGTTCTGTGATTGATAGGTCATGGAGTGAAGACGTTAGTCTCTCTGACTCAGATGGCAGTCCTCACTGGTGCCGAATGACTGTGTCCCAGAATGCACCTGGTGGCTTCCTAACCAATGGCAATGAGAGTGGAAGCAGCATGCCCTCAGAACCAGGAGCCACGGTCAAATCTCTCATCAAGTCTTTTGACACAGCTGTGCCGAGTGAGGACACGACCTTTCTCGCTGCTTTTCTTTTTTTCCCTCAGTCTCCCGTCATTCTCATTCTTCTCCTCTCCCTTTTTCTCATCTTTTCTTCCATGTAACAATAATTGTAAATATCTGAGACATTGAGTAAAATGTCTCAGATGGTAAAATTATTGCTGAAAAAATATTTAGGCAGTGATGAAATGTTTAGATCATGGCGCTATCATGGTGAAACAGATGCTAACAGAAGCCGTACTTTAATCTGAGCTAATGATGTAATTCTCTCCAAACATCTCCTGTCTGCCATCACAATCTATCAGTAACACGGCAGCAGGAAAGTCTGGCTCTCATTACAGCAGCCAGACCTCTCAAATCATTCCCGCCTGTCTTTATGCTGGACAGATACTTCTGTAAGTTACGGGTGGTGAGACAGCAGGACTTCTGCTCATTAATCACAAAAAAATGTCATGCTAGATTGGAGAGGTTGTTTAATGTTCCTAGAATAATAAGACAAAGAGTCCCATTATTAATAACCTTTAGTACAGCTTGTGATTTTTATAAAATAGGGTATTTCAGAAAGTCTAATGTGGTGTTGTCAGACAGTCATTCCAGCTTCATCAAAATATAATTGTCCTCATAAGGGTCCTCGTGAACCATTACTTTACCATATACGGTTTGTATTATGACAAATCCAATTTTCACATTTACATTTTATATGATCTTAATAGTTTGAGTGGAGATTCATTTGTAACCCTTTGCATGCTGTTTTTCAAGGATGGGCCAGTAAAAAACTATTGGATGAAGAATTAAAAAAAGCAATATTATGCAGTATCCTCTTGACTTATTGTATTATGTCATACTGAACTTCCTGTGTAAATGACCTTGAAGTGATAATTCACCCAACAAATTGAAATTCTGTCATCATTTACTCACCCAAATGCAATTTTTAAAAGAAGCTATTTTGAGATTTTTTTTTTATTGTCCATACAATAGAAGTCAGTGGTCACCAAAACCAAAGTTCCGGTCCTTGATTATGATTGTTTTAGCCATGTTCGAAGCTGTTGTAAATTACTGTAGAAACATACACCTGTGACCTCATTACATCAGTATTATTATGCAACTATGAAAATGTTTTAAAATGTTAGATTTTTGTTGAAAATTTTGACTTATTGGGTGGGCTAAGCACATGCTAACATTTTATAAAAGCAATAAGCCCTGTAAAGCCATGGTTTACAGTGAATTTAGAACAGATGAGTGGGTTTTAGTCTCTCCGCTCCACATTGTGTCTAACGACGCACCTTAGCTGTTCTAAATCCAAAAACACCTTCTTTTGTGTTCCAAAAGTCATACAGGTTTGGAATGACATACGAAAGTAATGAGATACTATCTATTGAATGAACTATCCATTCAGATTTTTAATGTTGTCTGTGTGGCTGGAAATAGGATTTTCTATGGCCAATTTTAAAAGTGTTTCACTGTATTCTTCTAGATGGACCCAGCAGCTCAGTACAGATGCATACATCTCCCAGAAGCCCCCTGAGTGGCATACCAGTCCGTACAGCCCCTGCTGCTGCTGTCTCACCCATTCAGGTACTACACATCTCACAATAAACCACGCATTTATACTGGAGTATGGGCCATGCTATCACTGACACGTGTCTTATGTTTCTAGAGGCACTCTGGAATCAAGCCGCTGTCAATGACCCTTGAGAGAAAAATCGCCTTTGGAGATTTCCCCCACAATGGTACTTCATAGTGACATAGAATTGAGGAGCGTCCTTCAAACAACACTTCAGTTATCCTTAAACACCTATACTGTAGAGAAACATTTACATTTAAACTGTTCATAGCATCTGTGGCATGTTGTTGCTTACCACAGACATTTTGAAATTGTGAAACTGCGCATGTATGCACTTGTAATACAAAGTCATTATCTTTGTCTGAAATCTGTCTAAAACATCAGTGTCTAAAATGGGGTCTATTGATATTGCTCTGGGGAAAAAAAGTAAAAGTATATTTCTTCAAAAGTACTGTATAGCCACAAAACTTAACATCATTTTAAAATAAGTTAAAGTTCATCTGCTTAGAGCACTAGTTACAATGCTAAAATAGGATTTCAATAACTTATAACAGATCAAATAACACATGGAAGAATTAATATTTGTGACTATTATAATCACTTTTTTTTTTTTTTTCAGAATGCACAGTTGACTTCCACTGAAGTTGTCCAATAATAATAATAATAATAATAATAATATTTAAACAAGAAAAAAAAAGAAAAATGTGTACATTTATAGTGCAAACAGTTCTTCAGGATAGTGAAGTGTAATAAATATGTAGTAAAACAAGCCAAGAAGATAGTGGAAATATCTACCGTTAAAATATTTGGGTTCTGTAAAATCTTTTAATGTTTTATATCTCTTTTAAGTCTCACCAATGTTGCATTTATTTGATCAAAAATACATAAAACAGGAATATTATGAAAAATTCTTATAATTTCAAATAGCTGTTTTTTTATTGTAATATATATTAAATTGTAATTTATTCCTGTGATGGCAAAGCTAAATGGTCAGGGTCATTACTCCAGTCTTCAGTGTCACATGATCCTTCAGAAATCATTCACATGTGCTAATTTGCTGCTCAATAAAAATGTTGTATTATTTTATTTATTTTGTAACAATTTTCTTTACTGTCACTTTTGATCAATTTAATGCATCCTTGCAGAATAAAATTATTAATTTATTACAAAAAATCTTTGACTTATTACAAAAAATGACCCCATACCTTATTATTTTGGTCATGTATTATGTTGGTGTATCATTTCTTCAGGAAGTGTTTTGCTCTGGCATTCGTAGTATCAGTTATCTTAATATTGTGTCATGTCTTCTCTTTGTGGATTTTATTATGTCCTTAGAGAGGATATTCTCCAGAAATGTGTCAATAATGGGACACAATATTAAATTTCCCCTGTGTGTCTGTGGTTCTGTCTCTCTCAGGGTCGTGTGATGAACTGAAGCCCTCGTCTCTTATGAGGAAGAGTCCATCTCTCGAGTCTGTGATTAAAACTCCAACTCACTTCAATGGCCGCACATCCTCTTTTACTTACAACAGAGCCAACAGCAAACTCAAGTAAGCTTCAAAAACATAAAAGCACAGATGCAGCACATGTCTTCCTCACTAGGGGCACTAAAACAACAGATGACTGTTTATGAAATCAGACTGTTCATGTCTTATGAAAGAAAGACTCACAGCTACCTTTCGCTGCTAAATATATGTGAATAAAGCTGAGACATAGACTAATAAGATGACTCAGATTAGAAAGACCTGAACTGCATTTCTTATCCATGATACACAATGCATTCCGCCTTCCTCAACAGTTTCTCACTGTTTTCGTTTCGCTAACCCCTGCTGTTCTGCTTAGAAACAATGCCTCGAGTTATGCAAGTCAGTCTCTTTGGTGATTCACAATTTGAACAGAATCATACTTGGCACAAACTGATACAAATAAAAAAGGTCTTGATATAGAACGTTTGTCATGACCTTTTTTTGCCCTGCTTCAAAAACACTGTTGGGAAGTTGACGCATAATGTGTTCATGGACTCTTCAAGATTTTCTAAGATTTTAGTTTAAAATATACATGAATATGTAAATTTGTCATGGTCCTGCAACATATCATTTAAACATTTCACCATTTGTTACTTCTTAAATTTTTTTTTTTTACAATTATTAAAGGAACACTCCACTTTAAAAAAAAAAAAAATAGGCTCATTTTCCAACTCCCCTAGAGTTAAACAGTTTCATACTTGGCACAAACTGATACAAATAAAAAAGGTCTTGATATAGAACGTTTGTCATGACCTTTTTTTGCCCTGCTTCAAAAACACTGTTGGGAAGTTGACGCATAATGTGTTCATGGACTCTTCAAGATTTTCTAAGATTTTAGTTTAAAATATACATGAATATGTAAATTTGTCATGGTCCTGCAACATATCATTTAAACATTTCACCATTTGTTACTTCTTACATTTTTTTTTTTTACAATTATTAAAGGAACACTCCACTTTAAAAGTAAGTACACAAGTCAGAAAAATATATAACACTGTTCTAGTGGTTTTTGGATATTTTAATAAAAAAATCTTACATATTGTGCCTTTAAATTTGTGTCAATGAAAACAGACACTTTTTTTGATGTGTATTTTTTCATTATTATAAAAAATTACAGAATTGCCTTTATATACACTACCATTCACATGTTCCTGATTTTTTATTTTATTTTAATTTTAAAATCTTTCAACATTTTTTTTATTAATTTTATGAAATTCTCTTTTGCTCACCAAGACTGCATTCATTGATCAAACATAAACAGTAATATTGCGAATATTATTACAATTTAAAATAACAGTTTTCTATTTCAATATATGTTAAAAGGTAATTTATTCCCGTGATGGCAAAGCTAAATTTCCAGCAGTCATTACTCCACTCTTGTCACATGATCCTTCAGAAATCATTCTGATATGCTGATTTGCAGCTCAAAAAAAAAAAACATTATCATTGTTGAAAATAGTTACTAAAAATACTAAAAATATAACAATATAAAAATTTTACTGTCATTTTTTATCAATTTAATGCATCCTTGCTGAATAAAATTATTGATCTCTTTCACATAAATAATAATGTAATCCCTTTATAACATATTAAATATTATGTATTGGAGAATATATATATTGAATCTTGTATTTGTTACAAATCCTTACAGACATCAGTGTGAAAGGTAATAAAACAATGACGCATATAGTGTTCGGAGTTCCAGTGCAATGACCACAGAGTCATCCAATTTTCCCACGAACACACAACAAGGCAATCTGATTAGCTTTCATGCTGTGTCTCTCGCAGACAGATGCTCCTGATGTACTGATGTACTTTCACATGTGTGTGAGGATTTTAGCAGTGGTTAAACACTAAACCCGTCAAGTGAAAGTCACTCACAATCTGTCGTTACGTTATTTATCCCAAGTACAGTATATATTTTGTGCAGATTTTCAGAGGACGCAAATACATTTAGCTCTTTCAATGCTATAATCGCATTTAGGAAATAACTAAATGTTATGAGTGCATGTCACACACTCCAAAACCCCATGAGGTCTCACACACATGTACAGATGCAGTGTTAGTGACCGTACGTGTGTATGTGTGTGTCCCCTGATGCTAGTGTGGAAAGAACAGACCCTCTGTCTGCTCTGGCGCGGGAGTATGGTGGATCTAAGAGGAACGCTCTACTGAAGTGGTGCCAGAAGAAAACAGAAGGCTATCCGGTAAGGAGCACAGGCCCTGACCCCCTTTCTCACCATGTCCCTCTCTCTCATCTTTCAGGCAAGTTTTATTGCCATGACTGTTTAAATACAACATTGGGAATGCCAAAGGAATGCAACCAAAGGAATGCAGAGTGAAAAAAACTGACATGTTTAAAAGTGAAATGTGTAATTTCTGCACCATTAAGGCCACCAAACAGAACTACACAAATAACTGAAAATGGAAAGTGTGATGGCTGAAAGTTTAAACGCATTTTTAAGCTTTTGACATTTGATTGATACTTAAAGGTCTAACACACACAGTTTCACCCAATCTCATATTAATCTTGAGTACCTATAGAGTAGTACTGCATCCTTCATATCTCCAAAAAGTATTTAGTTTTATCATATTTATAAAAGAAAGATACAGCTTTACAATTCTCTCCGCAAACAGCCGAGCTCCTGGAGGCACGCCGTGGGCGGAGCTAAAGAGTGACGAGCACAAAACACAGACATTTGAGATGCCGTTTCACTTACCGTCTGCAGTTCTGAATCATGACCGGGATCTTTTATAGCTGGGACCGCTCCGTCTTTCAGTATCAAACGATGTGAAAATCCAGCACCGAACTGGGCCTAGTTTATAAAAACGTTCGTCAACAAACACACTTGCGAAACTCCGTTGCTACCCCGGAAAACAAACTGCATCCGCTGTTTACGTAACGCTGGATTCTTCGGGAAGCTGAACAAAGTTATCTTTCCCTTACAACCAAAAACACACCTCTTTAGAGACATTCTTCTCGAGCGAGTCCCGTTCAGTGCAGCCGAATGAAACGCGTTGATGGGCGTGCTCTTGCTCTCGCTCTGGTCGATGTGTGCGCGGGCGCGCTCTTCCGGGAAAAATGCCCATATAAGGAGTTCTAACCCTTCATTACGTCATGAAGAGCCACGATCGAAAAAAACTTTCCGAACCTTGTAAGAAACCCGGAAATGTGTATTTGGCACAGAAATACTCTGTTATATATCCAAATCGTTTTTTGAAACTTTGGCCATGTTTAGCATGAGAATCCAACTCTTTAACAATGTAAACAACTCTGAATGCATGAAACAGCATTGTACCCCCCCCTTAACTAAATTTGCGTTTTGGTTGTGATGGTGGATTATCAGAAGTGTCATTACAAAAGAGTAAGTGGTCATCTACTGTCTTAACATGCTTATCCCATACTTCATAAAATAAGTCCCTTGTGTGGGCGGCCCAAGTTATAATCCAGCTCATGCCATTTCCAAATCCCACCACCAATTTCCTCTCAGTAAAAATGACAAAGGCCCCCCTAAATTTCTCCTTTCTAACTGAGCAGAAAACAAATTTCATCTACTGTTTCTTTTACCTCAAAGTACGCACGTTTTCTCTGTACTTCTGATATCTAACATTCTTCTCTCTTTACTAGACTGTGGTCACAGTCTGTTCGGTTTTGAGGGGGATTTATTGCAAGTATGATTTGGGAATGTGTCACTTTGGAGATTTGAAAGGGATTTTTCATATTTAATGCTTAGACTTGATTTCGGTAATGAAACAATTGTACAGTAGAGTGATCAGTGAAACATACATCACAACATGGTTATATGAGCAAACTAGACTTTTAGTGGTTCGTACAGTATGTCAAACCATCATTTTGTATTAGATAGTTGAAGAGTCTTCAGAGCTTTTTGGTGTGAGTTTCATAAAATCCTACATGTACTTATTTTGATGAGAAATAATTACAGATGGTGCTGTTGCATGATCATAAATCTCTTTCCTTATGTAAAGTGTCAAATATTTCATTTTGCCAATTTCTTGGTCACCAGCCATCATTAAAAATTCAAAGCTAATTTTATAAACTTAATTTCAGTGACAGTAAAGCCTTTTGCATTGGTACAAAAAAAATCTGTTTCCAATAAATGCTGTTCTTTTGAACTTTTTATTTCTTAAAAGACAAAAAATGTATCACGGTTTAAATATTAAGCAGCACAACTGTTTTCAACACTGATAATAATTTGAGCACAAGATCTTCAAACTTGAGCACCAAGATCTTCATATTAAAGTGACTTCTGAAGGATCATGTGAGGCTGAAGACTGTAGTAATGGATGATGAAAATTCAGCTGTGCCATCACAGGAATACATTACATTTTAAAATATATTAAAATAGAAAACAACTATTTGAAATTGTAATAATATTTCACATTATTAGTGATTTTACTGTATTTTTGATCAAATAATTGCAGTCTTATCTAACAATAATGATATTGTATATAAACATCAATATCCTGACAAAAGCTCTAATAAAATTCCAAAACAAAGTATATTTATCAAAGAACTCATTTTAAATGGAGTAAACAATTTCATGGGGCTTCTAGCTGTGCAATCCACAGAAATAACTTCTGCATGCAACCAATAAGTCTGCATTGCTTTCCCAAGACCAATTACAACAAACATTGTGGGAACACTTACTTGGAAAATCTTGGTTCACAAACTGTCGTCACAAATGGGAATGTTATTATATAAATTGAGCTAGTTTAAGATCATCTATCAGTAAAGGGCATCTTTTTTCAGTATTTTCACAAGAAACATTTTAAGCCTTTCTTTATATTTTTGCCCAGATAATATGAGATTAGTCTCGCGATAATAAATAGGAGTTAAATGTAAAAAAAAAAAATTGTCATGTCATTCTTAATCAGTACCACATTATATTTCATATGTAATCTACCCAACACTGAATGACCTATAAGACAAATTGGTATTTGTGCCACTTGAGATGCATCAGCCAGTGTTTGTGTTTCCAGAAGCAAATAATGTGTAATTGGTCATGTGCGATTGTATGTGAGCAGATAATATTTCTACAGGTTCACTCACTGCTCTAATAGCCTGTTTGAGGCCCATTAAACCCTCAGGGGACCAGACCCTATGCTCCGCCAATGTCATGTGTGAGAGGAAGATTAGCTCAAACACGCTTACCTTCCATATTAGCCTCAGCTGGTAAACAAAACGATGAAAGGGGCAATCATGCTTTTTTTTCCCCTCCTACCGCTTTCATCATCTTTTGCTTAACACTGGAAAACAGAGACATGCTTGCATTGATGTTTTAAGCACCAGATACTGGCCAACTGCTCTCAGGTGACCTGCGCTGGCTGTTAGGATGTACTTACAATAGGCGTTTTGAACCGTGCCCGAGCGCGTTTGACCCCCAAAGCCCGGTTTGTTTGACTAGTGTGATTGGTCCGTGCCGCGCCTGGGCGTGGTTCGTTTAGCCGTCCCTGTCTCAGTTGGAAGAGGTGGGCCAGAGCGCGGTTCAGTTGCGCTCGGGTGCAGTACGCATGTAGTGTGAGCGCTAACCGCACCCGAGCGCGAAACTTCTGATAGGCTACGTGCAGCACAATTGCATGAACATTTCTGAGTGGCAAAAGCAATAGATATGTTAAGCAATATATTGTGAGAGAGCCATGTGTCACCGCGTCCCAAACGACTCGAAATAATAAACCACAAAGTTAACAAAACGATGCACTTCATTGTGCTGAGTGAGATCGCTTCTCTACTGCCTTCTTGTGCTATCGGAAACTTCCTATTTCCCCACTTATGAAGTCGTTATTACGAGCTCGTTGCATTCAAGTGATTTGTTGTCGGAAAAATAAAATGTAATATTACATTGGTGGATAATCATAAACATTCATCATCGCGCTAGATATGAATACAATATGCTTCAAATGCCTATCTATAAATAGGCACGACTTTAACGACAAGAAAAGGTGATGTAGTTGTTGTTTAAAAAAAGAATAATAAATAATAGCAAAGAAAACTGGTAGAACTAAGCCAGTTGGGGTTGCCAGTGGGGGACTAGTTCACCACAGAAGTCCGGTCAGAGACATGAAGATACAGCTTAAAGTTCTTTGATGCTTTTATTTTCTCCACAACAATTCCATTAATGTTCAATAAATGTTGAGCATGTAAGAACAGAATATAAATTCAGAAAGGTCACAGTTAACATGAGCTGAAGTACATAAATTAACGTACTTGGTTCATATAATACGCACACAACACCAAACATGAAGAAAGCATCAAGTCCCTTTTCTTTCACCCATTTCTTGAGGGTCTATTTCTACAAACTGCTAATCACCGCCACCTGCTGGAAATGGGTGGAGCGTAGTGTCTTTACGTTGCTGCATTGACAGCGAATTCAAACACTGGCTGATCGCCAGCAGTATTGGGGGTAACGCATTACAAGTAATGCGAGTTACGTAATCAGATTACTTTTTTAAAGTAACTAGTAAAGTAACGCATTACTTTTTTTAATTTACAAGAAAACTATTGTAATGCATTACTTTTAAAAGTAACTTTCCCCAACACTGATCGCCAGAACACTTCAAAATAAAAGTGCATTTACAGTGGGCCTTTTTAACAAATAGCATTAACAGCAGCAATCGTTGTCCCCTAACATGTTTAAAGTTTATGGCCAGCCTAACTCAGAAACTGGAGTATCAATATAATTTTTGAGTAGTAAATACGACTTCAGAGGCTGTTCATGTCCAATTTCTAATTAGAAAACTCGTAATTACGATAATTTTGATAGCACGTGAAGGCAGCATAAAGCGTGCTCTGGCCCGGAACGTAAAGTGCAATGTGAGTGGAGTGCAGGCCAACGGGGGAGTCGGGAGGGGGGACAATCGCGCTCGGGCTCGGGCTCGGTTCAAGACAACCGTGCCTAGTGTGTGTACACCCTTAAATGTTATTAGCAAAGACAACAGTATATGAAGAGATAAACTTTGTTGAAAATGGAGAAACTCTAGTCAGTACAGTGCTTATTCATCTTTTGCCCTTTGGCTTGCAGAGATTCTGTTCAGCAGTTTGGGTTCTTTAACCACTCGCTGTCTGGAGGGTAAAATAATCAGCGCTCGGTGGCCAGATTGCAATAAGAGGCTTAAACTAGTCGTGGATTTTAGCATTGAAAATAATTCTGGCTTCTGGCGATTATATGATGTAAATTTTTTCTGTGCG